TATATGCATCTCTCTCCCCCACCTCCCGGCTCTGCCGGTAAATATTTAGAGGGCTGGCCTGCAGTCTAGCTCAGTCTCGGCTTGCTCCAGGTCCCAGGAGCTACCCCCACTGCAGCTCTGCATGAAAGGTATTATTGCAGAGCCACAGTGAGGGTAGCTCCCAGGAGCCAGCATGAGCCAGGACTGAGACGGGCTGCCTGCCTACCAGCTCCTAAAATGTTCTTAGCGCAAAGCCGCAGTGGGGGTAGTGGCCGGTGCTGGCACAAGCCTAGGATTGAGTGCTTGCAGTAATCCTAATCGACTAACTGAGTAGTTGACAGAATTTTTGTTAACTACATGTTTAACGAATTACATGCTTCTTAACATCCCTACTTAGAATGTTAAAAACTAGACTGTGCAAAACACTAATAAATGTACATAATCCAACCCCAGAATGAATGACCTAACCGACGCTAGGCTGTGACACTTGGAGGAATGCTGTCTCACACACTGGTTCCCATTGATTTAGGTGTATGAGAACCCCAAAATATCCACCTATCTATATTCCCTCTAATCTTATTCATCCAGGTGCGGAATAATTTTTATGTGCACCAAGGCATGTGCAAATGTGCACCTCCAGTAGAAACACAAAACCTAGCTGTGGGGCTCTGAAAGTCAACTGGGCAGCACTTGAATCTCTCCTGAGCATCTGCATAAGCACACAGTTTGCAAGGAACATTTCCTGCTGCCTTCCCTCCCACCTTCTCACTGTCCTTTTCTTCTTTCATTTCATGTTTTATAACAGTGGTGCCTTTGCCTCTGCCTTTTCATAGGGGGCTGTGATGCCCTTTTATTAGCTGTGTTTAGTTTTGGTTTGAGAGCTTGGATTTCACAATCATAGACCCAGCTCGTTGCTGTTGGCCTGGAACTCCTTGCACCTGGGGCATGGAAGCTCTGCCAGCTTCTAAATTCTCTTGATTCCAGCCTCCTAATTATGGAAAGCTTAACGAGACAGTTGAAAATAAGTGAGCTAATGCTTTGATTAAAACCTTGTGAATAGCGAGTTTCTGGAGATGTCAATTAGGTATGTTGAAAATCGTTTAATACGGTAACCATGGAACTGCTTCGATTTTTAGTGGTTCCATGGTTCCACACGGTGTGGGTTCTGCAGTAGAAAGCTTACTTCATACTGAAGAGCCCTCAGCGAAGCCTCCCTCGGAGCGAGGCCGCCAGCTCCTGCTGGCACCACTCCCGGAGAGGAGGCTTCACTAGTGCAGCAAAGCCACCTTCCTGGGAGTGGAGCGGGCAGCCCTTACCCTCCTGGCTCTCGGGGAGGAAGCTTTGCTGAGTCAGTGAAGCCACCTCCCTGGGAGCAGAGCCAGCAGCTCTTGCCCACCGGGCTCTCAGGGAGGAGGCTGAGTGTATCCGATACCATTAATCGATCAGCATCAGCGTATCAGTTAAACAGTTAATTGGTTAAAATCTAACCTCCCTAATGTCAATACAGCCATCAGGAGGCGCAGTTGCAGTGGGGGAAGAGGGGAAGCAGAGAGGCAGAGGACTATCTGTGCTAGCCTTGACCAGATTAACTCACTAAAACCAGCAGTGCAACCAGGCCTGCCGATGGAGCGTGTGTGTTAATGGGGGCAGCTGCCCCAGGGCTCAGTGATTCAGAAGGACCTGGGCCTCTTCGAGAACTAGAGTTGCCAGATGATTTAAACAAAAATACCGAACATCTCCTCCCCCCCCCCAAAAAAAAGAAGAAGAAAAAACACTGAGGAAAAAATTCTGTTGAGGGGAAAAAAAAAAACCCCGCATGACCCCCTTTAAGAAAAGTCTTTAGGCTGTTTGCCGGTGGCCATCTTGATTTCTTGATCAGAGCCAGAAGAAAGCAGGTATGCAGGGGTGGGCTGGGGCTAGGGCTAGGGCTGGGCTCGGGTGCTGAGTGTGTGTAGGGTTGACAGGTGTCCGGTATTTTCACCTCCTGGCGGGAAGAAAAATCAGAAAATACCGGACATTTTAGGTGTCTGGTATTTTCTGAATTTTTTTTACCAGACAGGAGGCGAAAATACCGGACTGTCTGGGTCAATACCGGACACCTGGCAACCCTAAGGACGATGCTGCAGCTACCACAGGTGTGCTCCTGGCAGCTCTGAGGGCTGAGTGGGAGCTGGTACGTTGCACTCTGGGAGGCACTGAGAGCTTGCTGCCCTCGGCCTCACTCCTTTCACCTGAGGGCCCTGCCTCTTCTGGGAGTGCAGAGCTGCCTGTACTCACCTCCCCTTTCCCAGGCACCTGGCAAATCTGTCAGCCCCACTGTGTGTAACTATGGCTCCCTAGAGAGCAGATTGGGCTAGCTAGTTGCATACAGCCTCACCTGGGACACTAATACATCGTGGGGCTGCTAGCCCATGCCCCTGCACCTATATTGCTGTTTTTAATGAGCCAGCTCAGTCAAAGCTAGGTCAGGTTTGCCTCACATGTGCTGTCCCAGTTACCAAATAAATACCCTCTGCCGTATTTACCCTTGCTGAGTAGCACCTTACTTCACCATTATGTCCTATTGATTCCAGTGGAACTGCTCCAGGAGGCAGCATCCTACTGTCAGTAGCAAGTAAGGGCTCCGATGAATCTCTCCACTTGGGTTGTCCCTAATCTGGGGACACCTGTGGTGTGGACCCTGGCAGGGGGAGGAGGAAGTGGCTCAGCCAGCTGGGAGAATGGCAGCTCATTAATGCGCTTCCCCTGCAACTTCCATAGTGGCCGGGGGGAGAGGGTGCGCCTAGGAGCGGAGTAGGGTGCAGAGCCACATGTGCCCCTGAAAGCAGAGCACCAGATAAGTGTCCCACCCTACATCCCCTCATGCCCAGACCCCACAGCGCCCTGCCTGACCCAGAAAAATCTTTAATCCAGCATACCCTGTTTCCTAGGATTGCTGGATTAAAGAGGGTCAAGTATATTAGAATCCCAATAAAAGTGTATGTATCAAAATATCTCAGTCGGGATAGATCCAGAATTAATCTGGGCCAAATTCACCTTTCAGTTACACTGGAGCACCTCATTCAAGTCAGTTGGGTTGCATTGACATGGCGGATCTGGCTCAGTAGTGAAAATAGCTTTACTCAAAGGGGAAAGGGTGCAGTCTCAATGGAGGGAATTAGTGATGGGAGTCGCGTACCTAATTCCCTGTGCACTGAGTTGAAAATGCTTTATATAAACTGTAGCATTTATTTCATGTACTTTTTCAAATAAAGTAATCAGTCAAGCTAAGACTTTCTGGTAATTGTCTTGTTCTTGGCTTTTTGCACAGCAATCTGCTGCTCTTTGTTCTATGCTCACTTTATTTCTGCAGTGTATTTTCTGCTGCTCTTGTACCTCATAAGACATAAGAACGGCCATACTGGGTCAGACCAAAAGTCCATCTAACCCAGTCTAGTCCTGTCTTCCAACGGTGACCAATGCCAAATGCCCCAGAGTGAGTGAACAGAACGTGTAATCATCAAGTGATCCCTCTCCTGTCACCCATTTCCATACTCTGACAAACAGGCTAGGAACACCATTCCTACCCACCCTGGCTAATAAGTATTGATGGACCTAACCTCTATGAATTTATCTAGTTCTTTTTTGAACCCTGTTAAAGTCCTCCTTCTCTTAAGGCCCTGTTTACACTAGAGAAAAATCCCTACATCTCCAAGCTAGAAGTTTAGAGTTTCTAAAATGGTTTGTGTGGTCAGCACTGACCAGGGAAAACATGTTTTATCTGCTTCAGCTCCATCAACATATACCAATCAAACATCAACCAAGCATACGTCAACTTGTGCCAATTAGAAAGTTTGTTCTAATTTGAGGAATATTTCCAATATGCGTAATGGGGGGATACTGATAGAAGTGGCATAACTTGTAACCTGGTCTAAACTTTTCCTTCCTGTTTGGGTGGGACTTAATAAAGAGAGATAAACCCTTTCCCTCTCTGTGTAGACCACCACAGTCAAGGGGTTAGGGCCCCAAAACTTTGAACTAGGAGAGCTGGGTTCTAGTCCTGCCTATGCCCCCAGATGTTATATGGGCAGGGATCTCTTCAAGTCAATGACAAGCCTTACGCTGGGCTCTCTGGGACCTGTGACTGCCTCTGAATCCCCAACTGTAGAAGGAGAATAAGAACAGAGCTTTGAGAACTATGGATGAAAATTGTTAGATAGCTCTCAAGTGTGATGTTCAATGCTGTAAGGGCCTGTCATTTTTGTGAGCCTCTTCCTGAGTACCCAAAGCCCACTTTTAAAGGTCGGTATCTAATAAAGATGATTCGGACAGTCACAGTTATTTGCCTCCTTAATTTCTGGTCTCTGTGATCCCTATCAAATGGGTCTTACAATTTTTGGTTTGGATTATCTTTCTCTTGTAGGCAATATGAGAAAAAGAAAAATATAGCTCTGCTGATTTGTATGACTGATTTGTATTGTCGGCGCCTACTGTGCTAGGTGCTGTACAAACACTATTGTTGAATCAATGGTGGACAACCTATGGCCTGCGGATCCTTTGGCTGCCTCCCTCCCTCATGCACCTCTCATGCACTGGAGCCCCCACACTTCCATGCTACTTCCCCTCCCTCCCAGAGTGGAACACTGCAAATCAGATGCTTCACAGTGATCCAGCTCTGGGAGGAAGAGGGTGAGGAGTGGGGATGGAGTGTGAATCGGGTGATTTGTGTGCTATGGAAGTGCTGGGAAAAAGGGGGGGAGATGTAGGTAAGAGTGGGGGCATTGGTACCTTAGTGGTGCATAGGACAGTGGGGCAGATGGAGGGGTGCAGAGCTGCAGATGGATCCCCAGTGGTCTGCAGGCTGCTGTGATCTACTGAGATGGAGGGCTGCTTAGGATTGGTGGTTGCCCATCACTGGTCTAATCTCATCTTTCCAAGGTGACCATCATAATAGCATCCAGGCATGAATTGAAAAGGGAAAAAAATGGAAGTGCTCAAGGTATTTTTAAGTCCTGTGTCATAAAAATGCCTTCTCTGTGCAGCTTCTCGACATGTGCATGACAAACTGTGGCTCAAGCTTCCGTGCCTTAGTTGTGAAGAAAGACTTCTGCAAGGACAAGCTGGTGAAACTGCTGAATCCAAGATACAATTTGCCAACTGAAATGCAAGAAAAAATCTTGGCCTTTATCAGGGTAAGTCAACTGTGAGTAGATTTCTATGTACATAGTAAGTATTTAATTATACAACCCGGTGATGTCCTGGAAGGGGGTACTTGTGAAAATGTCCTTTGGTGTACTTGCTACTTTTGCAAGTGGAGCCTGGAGTGGGAGATGGAGGGATACCCCCTTCCCTGACTGCTGGATGTGTACCCTCCCCAGCTGCATGGGAGAAGAAAAGTGAAAGGGAGTTTTGAAGCTTTCTCACTCACCTACTTAGAGTGCAGCCCAAGGGGGCAAGTGGCTTATGCGGTGGGAGCCTTACCTCGTAGAGAGCTTCAACATGTGTAGTAGGAGAACCCTCTAGGAGGGTTCTTTTCTTCCCTCACTCACTGACATGCTCTTCAGCCTTAGAACTAATTTCTCCGACCAACAGAAATCGTGCATTTTGCAAAGAGTCCAGTAGGTGGGTAGATAAGGAAAGGAGGAGAGGCAGCCACAAGGGAAGGAAGGCATGAACCATGTTGCTTCTCTAAGGAAAGAATTCTGGGTCTCAAAGTTAAAAAGTTTTTGATGTCTGTCCCCACTGATTTTTCAAAAACAGACCTGGTCCTACGAGTTCCAAGGAATCGTGGATGTGAGTGAAGTGAAGGAAGTGTACCTGGAACTGCTAAAGAAAGGAGTGCAGTTTCCATCTTCTGATGCCAACTCAGGGACACAAAAGGTCTGTACCAGATTCACCACTATTAATTGGAGTTAATTGTGAGAGCTCTATGTACAAAGAAGGTTCATGGAATGTCATTAGTTATGATATCTGAAACCATGAAAATCCCACACGCATGCTTAGGAAGTCGGTTACATATTTTGCCCTGGAGTATATATTTTTTTAAACTTATATAACTTTGTTTTTATTTTAAAATTTATAGTTTGGGGGAATCTGTTGCTGAAACAGGAAGCAGAAATCTCTGAGATTTTTTTAAAGCTGGCTATGAGATTTGGGGACTTAGTTCCCATCAACTTGTATGGCATTTGGGTGTCCAAATCTCTTTGGCATTTTTTAAAGTCTCAGCCAAAATTTTTATTATTTGCATGAAAACTCCCAATGATTCCCAATGTGAGCATTACCTGTGTTCAATTTGGAATTGAGAGTGGTAAGGATACTTAATAAAAAGGTATTTTCCGTATAAGATTCTACCCACTTGTTTGTACAGTCTCTACAAAATAATTTGCAACCTTGTGGATAAAGAATCTGTCTTTACTATTTAAGTTGATCAGAGGTATAATCAGAAAATGACCTTCTGTCAATGTGACTTGAGCAATCCCTACCAGCTTTTTGTGAAGCAAATTTCTTAGATTTGTTCCTTCCAGTTTCCTATAACTAGGAAGAGCTTTCACAAGCCTTTTTAAAAGAGTGAAACCATCAGGTGGTATGCTGCAGTTATGGGTTTAGAATTCGCTAATCAGCCCAGGCAAAAGTGATTCAAAACTATTGTGGTTTGGCCTGATGATTAAATAGTGTAGTATAAGAAAAGCAGTGTATTTTGACTAAGACTCTTCAGACTAGGCTGTGTATGCTGAGCCTTTTAACTAGGTAATTATTTCTTTCCCATTGAGATGTAACTGTGGGAATTAATGTCTTCTAAAGCCCTGGTCCTACACCCACTGAAATCAATGGCAAAACTCCAATGACTTCAATATAAAATTTATCCCAAAGTACCTAAGGATGAGAGGGCTTAAGTAGAGTCTGATACAGGCCTTCAGATTAACCCAAAATTCACTTGAGGCTTCTTGCATGCAAAGCTTTCTAGCTTTGGGATTCAGAAGAGCCTACTCCCCTCTTAGCCCATCTTCCGGATAAGAACTTTTAGACCCTTTCTTATCTTTTCTGCTGTTGTGCCATCACCAGCCACAGTTAACTCTTTTCCCTTTAGTAGGATTCTTGTGTACCTGTTAATTCCCATTCCAAAGAAAGTAATAGAATTCTCCTACCAAAAATGGTCTGATCTCTGTGCCCTGCCACAGTGGCATAATTCATGAGTTGCCATTCACACTTCTTGCTGTGATGGATTCACTCGCTAACAAACTAACTGAAAGGAAACCTGGATCCCAAGTCTGCTTTTTATTCCAAAGTGGTTGTTGGTTTTACTTCAGCGAATAGAACTCGCTCAGATAGGCTTAGCTGGAGTTTCCTAACTGGCAGTATTGTAGCACTGATTATGAGGAGGCTAGCGTGCGATTGTCTAGTCTGATAATGATGCTTTGTGGGCTGTCATCTGGGTGTCGGTGTCAATTTTCAGGCTAAACAAAATCCCTTTTAATATCGTATAGCAGCAAGCTTCATCTTGGCCCTCTGAAAAGCCATTGCCTCCTTCTACTGCCTCTGTGAAAAGTATTGCGGTGCCTCATCCCCCAGTTCCAACAATAACACTGACTCCTGAACAGGTACAATACAGTCTTTCTTTTGAAATATGCTGACTAAGTGTCTGTCATCACGATTCTCTGGCCTGTATAGGATATAATATTAGAGACTGTTGCAGGAAAGATCTCCATTAGCTGAAGCGGCATAGGTTTCTGTTGACAGTCCCAGGCTGGTTCCTGTTTGTTAGAAAATCTTACACTTTCATGTGCCAGATCTTAGTGGAGGCCCAGAAAGGAGACTGCACAAGTGCCAGGGAGCTAGTCCATGGGAAAGTAGAAATCTTTGCTTGAGTATGTGTATTTCTAATGCTCTTATAAGGGTACTGTTGTGCAAATTTGTAAGAAAGGAGGGTGCTTTAAAGATGGAAGGGAAGGGTAAAAAACCACTTTTGCATGACACTAATGTGAAGAAATAATTTTTAAAAGGTGGAAAGAAACCGACAAGCCAGTTCCACACCAGCCTGTGGATAAATGAAAGTTTGTCTGCTTAATCATAATAGGACTTTAAGATAAAGTTAAACTTACATATAAGTTAACTTATAAATGTTTACTGTAAAGGAGAGAAATATCATCATCGCGCTCCACAGAGCTCAGATTTGAGACTGACTGCCTTCCAGTGATATAAAACTTGACAGTGATATAAAACATCCATGGATAGGATTCTGCCAAATCATTTTGATCAATTTCACACCCAAAAAAGGCTTTTTTAATTGGTCAGTTTCATGGTTTCATGTTTACATCTGAAATTTCAGTGTTGTGACTGAGACTCCCAACCCAAATGGTACCTGGAGGTGGATCTGATCATCCTCCAGTGGTCCTGCAGGAGAAGTGGGGGGAGGACAGGGACAAATCCTGTCCCTGCCCCAAGCCGGAGGGGACTCACAGCTAGGAGCCCCCTTGATCAGGGGGCTCCCAGCAGCAGGGGGAAATTGGACCCATGTGCACTTGATCAGGGGCCTCTCAGCAGCAGGGGGAAATTGGACCCAGCCTGCTTCAGTTGCAGGAACATCTGGTGCTGCTGCCCAACCCTGGAACTTCTTGTGGTAGGAGGAGGCTCTTGGAAGTGGATCCTATCTGCCTCTGAGAATGACTGTGCTGGAGAAGGACAAGTCCTGTCTCTCTCCAGTCCAGTAGGAACTTACAGCGAGGAGCTGCTGGGATGGGGTGCTGACAATAGCAAAGGAGAGATCACATTTCAGGGGGAAGGGCTTGTTTCATGATCCGTGATGTGTTTTTCATGTGAAATTGGTAGGGTCCTAACCATGGAGTATCACCTGTGTGTAAAGGCTGGTGTAAGGAAGTGCTGATCAGGCTCATAGCATCGCTGATAAAAGAGCAAGCAGGACCGTAGAAGTGGAAAGCATTGTGTCTTCAGTCCTTGCACCTCTAACATGCCATTCCCTTGCACTGAACAGGCAGGGAAGATCTACAGCGAACTGGATATGGCGAAAATGAATACGAAAGTCATGTCGGAGATTTTAAAGGAAAATGTGCCTGGCTGTGAGAATCTTGACGATATGGTGCTCTTACAGGTGCGGTGGAACATATTTGCTAGGAGTTTGTGGATGGCTTGGTGGTGGTTCATTTAAAAAAATATACCTTGTGCCCATCCTTGTTATGTCTGGGTTCATATTGCATAATGAAAACAAATGTCTGTTTTCAACCTTTGGTGTTGATCTAGCTTTCCCTTGCCTCTATTGTCTCCGCCTGCTAGGAAATCAGGCAGAAAAGGACAAGTGCACCTTGCAATGAAAACTCTAGCACTAGTGGACTGATGGGGGAATGAATTTATAGAGTGGGGAATCGTCCCTCAAGATTGTCCTGCCGCTCAGACCCAGGTGTTCAGTTCGGAGAGCAAAAACACGTCAGCTGAATGCAACTACTGCATGGAAAAACAGTGATAAGATCATTGTAATAGTAAGGTCCCAGGCCTTTCAGGGCTCTGTGCATCATCACCAGTACTTTGAAGACAGACCGAGAGCCAGTGCAGAATGTAGAGTGCTGGTTTTAAGTGCTCAAAGATGAGCAGTTGTGGTGTTTATTAGCTGCAGTTATGTATAGACTTCAAGTTCTGTTTGTCTAGCCTGGAGATGACAAGACTGAGGCATTGTCTCCAGCATCTTCTTTTCCTAGTACAGGTTGTACCTTCCTTAACCGGGACTCCCTGGTCTGACAATATCCATAGTCCAGCATGGACCATGGATGTTCCTGGACCACAGAATCCAAGAACAGGGACGTCTGGTGGCAGGGCAGGAGTGTGTTAGGGCGCACTGGCAACCCTCTTTGTGTGTTGGGGGAATTGGTGGCACCGCAGGGATCTCCGGCCCTAGCCACAGAGCTCCAGCCCCGGCCGCGGAGCCAGGCAGGTGTGCAGCCTTGGTCCCGGCAGTAGAGCCTGGTGGTTGCAGCTCTCTTCCCCGGCCGTGGCATTCCACTCTGGCAGCAGCAGAGCTGGCAGCATCTAGAGAGGCTCGCGGGGCTGGGGCAACAGTGGGGCCAGGCTGGACCCCTAATCCAGTGGCAGCACAGGCCAGGATGGGGAGGGACCTTCCCTGGTCCTGCAAATCCCCTCCTTCGGGACCAGTGAGGTCTGCAGGGTGCCAAACCAGTGAGGTCCAACCTGTACTAGTTTTTCTACATATACGCTGAATTTTTCAGTGCCCACTTTAGAAGCAAAATCCTAATGCCTCCGCAATGTAATTATTGTCTACCCATGGAAACCCTGGACTCAGCCATCTGTTCACAAGGATCATATAAACTTGGTCCTCATTCTGGACATAGAAGGTTAACTGCTTTACCAGTAAGTATCACTCTTAATGGGTGAGGCTTACTGGTTCCAGTTAACTGCTAGGGGCTGGAGTAGCTTCCTGCCTGCCCTGGGCAGGGGGCTTCTCCAGCTCTGTGGGGCCCACAGCAGGCAGGGGCTGTTTTGGCCACCTGGCTGGAGCAACCCCTGCCTGTGGAGGGCCTGGCTTCCCCACCACAGGTTACACGCTGGCTCCCCGGGAGCAGGGCTGGCTGCAGAGCCTGTACTGAAGCCTCCCCACTAGGAACTGAGTTTTATACTGCAACGCCCGCAGCACGCATAACTGTGTAACTGCTAAGAATTTTAGTGATTACACAGTTACCTGTTTAAACGACTTTTTTCATCCCTATTCCTCATATGGGCTATGTCTAGACTGCAGGCGGATCTTTCGAAAGAGAAATCCGCTTTTTTGAAAGAGAGCACCCAGCGAGTCTGGATGCTCTCTTTCGAAGACGGCCTCTTTACATTGAAGAACGCCTTCTTTCGAAAGAGGAACTTTCGAAAGAAGGCGTTCTTCCTCGTGAAACGAGGTTTACCGCCATCGAAAGAAAAGCCGCGTTCTTTCGAAATAATTTCGAAAGAACACGGCTTGAGTCTGGACGCAGGGGAAGTTTTTTCGGGAAAAGGCTACTTTTCCCGAAAAAAACCCTGAGTCTGGACATGGCCATGGTTCCCTTGTTTTAAACTTGTCTTCAAATACTGGCATGAGGAAACTTTCTGTTAATGAGACTTTTTTACTCTGCCTTCACTTGGTTTGGAGGAGTAATCTACCTTCTAGCAATTTCTTTGGACATTCCATCAGTTGGCCAACAGAAAATTCTCCCTGATCCAGGGGAATCTTCTACTAGTGTGGGCTGGTATACTGGCTCTTGGGCCATCCCACCCACCCTCAGCCTCCACTGCAGGATGCACAGCAGGAAAATAGAGGTCCCTGGCTGAAATATGTTATTTAGGGAACCTGTCCCAGAACTGGAGGTGACCAAAATTGTGTAAAGCCACCAGATGCCAGGATGCAACATAAATTCATTTAAAAAAAAGGAAGTAAAATCCATTCAAAGGGCCAGGATGCAACATAAATTCATTTTAAAAAAAGGAAGTAAAATCCATTCAAAGGAAAATCTATAACTATGCAATTTCTCAATGGCAAGGAGTAGGTCTCCATCTGCTAATTACTGCACTTTTAAAAAAATAAGTCTCATGTCATAGACTTCTGCTATAATATTTATGAGCTGTTGCATTCAAGCTCTAAAACTATATGGTTTTTTTTTTAATTCCACAATTAAATATTGACGACATCTGGCCCCAGCTCTATAGACTGTAGATTTTTCAAGATTCGAGTTGCAAGAGAAGCCTTTACAAATCTCTCTGGTAAATAACATTTTCTTATTAAGGTTGTCTGCATAAATAATTATTATAGTCACAATAGACTTAATGGCTCCTCTGAAATGAAGCAGAGCTTAAAAAATTCCCTGGTGTGCATTATAAAATAATCTGAATGCACATTGACTGTACACAGTAATTATGACTGAAAAAAAGCGGAGAACTTCACCCAGTAAATAAGAGTAATTTAAAACATTATCTCAACTTTCATGTTCTTCATGTTAATTTTCTCTCCCAACTCACATAAAAATATTGAAAAAAAATATTTTAAAACAGTGTAAAGGGGTTAGCCCAATAAACTTAGCCCAATAAACACCAGGGGTCTGTAGCTAAAGACTTGTCTTCATGGCTGCGGACATGGACGCTGTGTGGGTCAATCTTCCAGCATTTGATTAAGCAGGTCTAGTAAAGTTGGTTTAAATTGGACCCTGATAGTGCCCCTGTTGACTGCGGTACTCCTCACTGTCACAAGGAGCAAGGGAAGTCGACGAGAATATTTCTCCCTCGACCTCCCAGTGTTGGGCTGCCCCAGGAAATCGTCGTAAGGTACGTCGACTCCAGCTACGCAGTTGTTGTAGCTGAAATTGCGTATCTTACATCGATTTTTTTCCACCAGTGTAGACCTGGCCTAAGTTCTTCACTCATCTTAAGGGGAAACAAAGTAAACAAAAAGAAAGATAGAGATCCCACAAAAACATGAAGAGTACAAACCTGTGTCAGCAATGACTTAGGCCTCAACTCCCACATTTATTGTAGATGGGAGCAGCAATCTTAACGAGCATGGAGTATGATCTAATGGATAGAGCCAAGTAATGAGTCAGGCCTTCTAGATTCTCTTCCTGTTTCTGCAATCATGTCACTGTGTGGCCTTGAACAAGTAGTATGACCTCTCTTTGTACTTCAGTTTACATAGCTGTGCAATGGATACAGACCTGCCAATGCAGGGGGGTGGAGGCAATTGTCATCAGCAATGCCCATAGTCCCGAGCCCTTTAAATTGCTGCCGGAAAGTCGCTGTGGCACTCCAAAAGACTCTCAGATCTGTCTGGGGAGACAGGGGTTTCCGTGCACTCCAGGCAACGCTGGCGGGAGGGTGCTGTGGTCTAGACGGTGCTGAGGGCTGGCTGCCCTCAGCCCCGCCCCTTCTCCTCTCAGCCCCACCCCTTCTGGGAGCATAGAGCTGTCCCCCCCATCCCCACCAAGCCCCTGGTCCCAGCATGGCTATTGGCTCCCCTGAATGGCTATTACAGTGCTTTCTAACCTCACAAACCTGTGAGATTCTGTTCCGTATCTTCATCAACGATTTAAATATTGGCATAGAGAGTACGTTTATTAAGTTTGCAGATGATACCAAGCTGGGAGGGGTTGCAACTGCTTTGGAAGTAATAATTCAAAATGATCTGGACAAATTGGAGAAATGGTCTGAGATAAACAGGATGAAGTTTAATAAGGACAAATGCAAAGTGCTCCACTTAGGAAGGAACAAACAGTTTCACACATACAGAATGGGAAGCGACTGTCTAGGAAGGAGTACGGCAGAAAGGGATCTAGGGGTTATAGTGGAACACAAGCTAAATATGAGTTAACAGTGTGATGCTGTTGCAAAAAAAGCAAACATGATTCTAGGATACATTAACAGGTGTGTTGCGAGCAAGACATGAGAAGTCATTCTTCCACTCTACTCTGTGCTGATTAGGCCTCAGTTGGAGTATTGTGTCCAGTTCTGGGCTCCAAATTTCAAGAAAGATGTGGAGAAATTGAAGAAGGTCCAGAGAAGAGCAACAAGAATGATTAAAGGTCTAGAGAACATGACCTATGAAGGAAGACTGAAAGAACTGGGCTTGTTTAGCTTGGAAAAGAGAAGATTGAGAGGGGACATGATAGCGGTTTCCAAGTATCTAAAAGGGTGTCACAAGGAGGAGGGAAAAAATTGTTCTTCCTGGCCTCTGAGGATAGAACGAAAAGCAATGGGCTTAAACTGAGATTTAGGTTGGACATTAGGAAAAAGTTCCTAACTGTCAGGGTGGTTAAACACTGGAATAAATTGCCTAGGGAGGTTGTGGAATCTCCATCTCTGGAGATACCTAAGAGTAGGTTAGATAAATGTCTATCAGGGATGGTCTAGACCCGTGGTCCCCAACACGGTGCCCGCGGGCGGGGGGGAGCGCCGGCCCCGGGCGCGCAAGTGTCCCCGCCCCCTGGCACCCGGTGGGAGAACGGCCACGCCCCTTGGTGCCTGGCAACCTCAATGTTTGGGGACCACTGATCTAGATCATCCCGGGCAAGTCTTTTTCTAAGCTGCTCTTTAAAATCTCCAGTGATGGAGATTCCATAACATCTCTAGACA